GTTTAAACTATTACAATTGATACTACTAATTTATACTACCATTCACTAATATTATAAAGAAACTTTTTTACAGTATATTACCGTTATCTTGCCAGTAAGTCCACTGTATCCAGACCCACAAAACCTTCACTCCAAAAAAATATATTTTGCAACGACAACTGTTTTCTTCAGCTATTTCTTTTTCCTTTCATTCTAAAATTTTATTCCGTTTTATACCTTTTTCTACTACATTTTAACTATGCTGCACATTATACTTGACATATTAATATTTGTCTTTAAATCTGATATCTGATATTTTTATATTTATATATTTATTTAATAAGAAATTATTATACTCCTTGCTATTGCTTTTTTCTATTACCTTCTACTATAAAACACTGTTTCTTCTCCAATTTTTTGGTTTTCTGTCATCTTTCTTTAAACAAAAATAACTTTTTCGCAACTATAGTTCTTTCTGTTATTTGTATATTTTCCCATCTACTTTTATTTAGTTTTTGCTTCTTCCTATTCATAGAGGAATGTTTCTCATACTACACTTCACTTCCTGCTTGTCTCGCATTTACTTATGCTTCAGCAAACGCTTTTCAACACTTTCTCATTTGTCATATTTTATAGAAGTATAATATTATATTTACAACAAGAAAATTGTTGTTGTTTTTAAAGTCCAATCAGTCTTCATTGCCGCTCTTTTAGAGCTTAACTTTATAAGTGGTCGCTCTTGACAGTCAGGATAATCGCATTAGTCGATTACATTTATGTATATGTAAGATAATATAGGGTGCATTACTTTGAAGAAAAGCTTGAAAAAATTCCTGATGAAATTTTTCAAACCTTGAAAGTGTCAAAAATATATCAAATAACCGATATAAAAGCATTATTGATATTACCCTAAAGTAATTTCATTTGCAGATGCTCTGGCTAAGAAACGCATAAAAAATATATATATGCCACATACGATTTACTACGATCTTTTATTCGATTTTTTACCGATTTCAATCGGTTTTGAGATAATATATTTGCATATAAGAGTCTCGTTTCCTGAAATTTCATTTCCAGTTCTCGTCTCGACATAATCATAATCACCCTCTTCTTCCTTCTTATAATTCACAATACCTTACCTCATACTTAGGTTTAGGCAATGAAGGAATTCCGAAGGTTTTTAAATCGCCTTCGTAAAGCTAATGGCTTTTTATGAGAAGTTGCCTTTTATTTTGAATATAAGCTCGAAGGTTTACCACTGTCTGAACCCAAAATAGATCGGCACTGAGATTCCCCCATATTCTGAATAATGGCACCTCCATAAAAAAGCAAATGATCTGTTGAAACACAGGGTTTTAACTGAGTTCATAGAAGCTTAGATTCCAGTCCAGATTACCAAATTCTTTCAATTCCATTTAAGTTCAAGTTCTCTTAACATATTTCTTGCTTCGACAATTTTTGATAATTATGAACAGAGTTCATAGATGCTGAGACCTCAGTCCTAGTTACCCTCGTCACTTAAGTCCCTTTGTTCTCTCGACAAATTCCTTTCTTTTACCCAACGTTCCTAAGAAAATTATATTAGAACCACCCTATACTTCGAGGAGCTTATTGTCTATGCTTAATTTGTAGCACATGCAAAGTCACATCTTAACTGACTGAGCTATGCAAATTTGCTGAGCTTGTGGTAAAGTACCTGTTATACTCGCAAATGATAAAATGTGGATTTCTTAGCGCTGACACTGATACCAAGCGGCCACTCACTTCAGTCATTCGTTTTTAATTTTCTCCAACGACCACTTGCGACTGTCTTCGCACCGCTATCTTTCTGCCAACCACTTTTGCAGCTTCCTCACTTGTTTTGGTGTTTTTCTGCAATGCTATTCATAAAAGTTTGAACAATGCAGATACTTGAAGTTACCTCGAGATTTTCCCATATCTTTCTTTTCTTCCTTTTTATACTGTCGCAACCTGTTGCTACAGAGTGTAGTAGTTTTGTTCACCTAACGTTTGTTTGTATCACCTAAAACTAACCGAGTTAGATATAGGGTTATACATATATAAATGAGCAGGATGAAGAGACGAGTTGAAATCCGGCTGACTGTCTGTCCGTCCGTTTGTGCAAGCCGTAACTTGAGTAAAAATAGTAATTGTAAAACGCAGTGTGAAAATGGGTAAAATCGGGTGACAACCCCGCCCACTCCCCATATAGCGTTACTGTTAAAAACTACTAAAAGCCCGATAAATCAAGCACTAAATGAATGGGCTTTGATCCTTGCAAGTTGCGAGAGTATTCAATTTTCGGTTAGACCCGAACTTAAAACTTCCTTACTTGTTTTACTTGTGTATACTTGAGGCTAATATCGAACTTTACAAAAATAACAACGTACACTTGCAAATTGCAACTGTTGAATTTGATATATAAATAAGAAGCGTTGGCAAAAGAAAAACGAAGCAAAATATAAAAAGGAGGTGAAAAAAAGAGTAACAAGTAACAATGTCTGAAACTTTGGCCATAAAAATGTCCAATTTTATGGTGAAAACTTCGTAAGCTTTGTAAGAATAGCGACAAAATTGATGACACAAAGTAACGTTCAGTTAAGTTAAGGGATATGTGAGCGGTTTGTCAAGTGGATGGCAATTTCAAACATCGA